ATTTCTACTTAGGGAAAAATTAAAACCGCCTCCCGTAAACAAAAGCAGTATTGTTTACAAGTAGTCCTTTAACTGGTACTCCCCAGATGTGTGCGGGTGTGTGTGTACCGTGTAAAAGCGTTCATGAGCACAACGCATTCTAGCTCAGGCTATCTCCCTTTTGAAACCGTGCACATCCCGTCACCGAATCGTTTAAGGATGAAATATAGAGACACGCATCAAATGCCCCAAATCTAGGCGGCGAAATTAAAGGAGGTCGTGGGCAAGAAACGCATAGGCCCCTCTGTCTAGCCTTTGTTTTTGCACTTTGGAAAACATCACGGGTACGGAGAAGTTTCCATCGGCTCTAAGAGATTCAAGAACAGGCAGTTGGCCACTGTCCCTTTAGCTGGCAAAGCTATAGGGAGTAGTGGGGGCTGTGGTAAACGGAGAACACTCTCGGCCTCCAGGGGTAGCAGCCGCTCCCAACTCATTTCTTGCTCCATGGGCAGTGCCGTGTTTTTCTTTGTTTCTTTTCAAAAGAAGCCAGAAACCTGGATTTCCCTCTCTCCCTCCCTCTCTCTCTCTCTCTCTCTCTGTCTCTCTCGCATGTTCATGTGTGTTTAGAAAGATAGTTCTTGATTTTTAAAGGTTGATAGCCTATTTTAAGTGTATAAACATGGAACAAGCCAAAAAAAAAAATACATTTCCTAGCCAGATACAGCCTGGGATCTGCCAGGGTATGACTTCTGCAGAAGGCTCTTCTCAAGGGTCTGGGGCAGCCAGGGTTATCACGGAAGGGTCACAGAGTCTGTCCTGAATCTCTACCTCTCTACTCTCCCTCCTAGGACATGACCTGTTGGAGACGAGGTCATTGATAGACTGATGTGTCGACTGATCGCTATTATGTCAGATGTCACCTATGTTAGCTTGTAAAATCTCCTCTACTTTTCTTACCAATATAGGTGAGAGTTGGACCTTGAAGATAGTTGTGTCCCCTCTCAACCGAAACCATCGTCACATCATTGTCACCTAGTGAGTATGAGCCTCAGGGCAACAAACTAAGGATATGTCAGGGAGGATCACTTTCTTTTGCTAGATTTCAAGTTAATTCCCATTTTCGGCAAAGCAAACATAATTTTTTTAACTCTAATCTGTTATGGGTTCCCCTTCCTTTAAAGTTGAACTAGAAATTCAGATATAGTGCCCGCCTAGCAAGTTTGCCAGGAAAAGAGGGGCAGTGCTTTGGGAAAACGGACAGCCCCTGGGCTACAGTGACACATTTGTCATGCCGGTGAGGGAGCCCCCTGTGGCCTCTGGGCCATGCGCGGAGCACACACGTCTTCCTGCATGGCTGTCTCTGGGGTCTGGCTGCTTAGATGCACCAGAGCCATTCAGTCCCTGAGGTGGTGGATTCCATTAGCTGGGCAGCCTCCTCACCTTCTGGCCAAGTGGAACCCCTTTTCTATCTTGGATGGGGGTGGGGTGCAGAACGTGGGGGAGACGAAGACCCGCTTTCAACTCTCAATTCTGGCCAAATTCTTCTTGAACTTCTGCTACAGATCCTAAGTTTCTCAAGGGGCTTTTAGGCTTTTGGAGATAAAAGCCGAGGACAGGCAGAAGGCATTTCTGCTTTCTCCTCTGCCACATCCCTTCCCCAAGGCAATGAGCACAAGTGATGACTATGTAGAAGGGTGAGAGACAAAACCCAGGCTCACATCTCCACGAGGATCCCAGGGCCGTCACAATTCCGGCGTCTCCAACCTCCCCGACTTATCGGATACCAGTTCTGTGTTCTGGGCTTACTAGTTATCATTTTGTTTCTCAAGACAACCCTGTGAAGGAAACATCATCTGTATCAGTTATCTATTGACAGGGCCGTGCTGTGTAACAAATACCCCTAAACCCGGTGATGAAAAACAATCAACATTCATTTCGCTCGCCAGTCAGAGGGGTCCAGCTGCTCTGGGCTGGGCTAGCCTGATCTCAGGTGGCCCTGCTCATAAATCTGAGGTCAGCTTCCAGGCTGGCTTAGGGGCTCAGCTAATCTTGGCTGGGGTGCACTCACACGGTTGGGAACTGGCGAGCTGTGGGCTGATGTAGAACAGCCTGGGCTTTCGTGGCTGAGACACCCTGGCCCCACATAGCAGGCATCTCCTCATCCAGCAAGATAGCCTATGCGTTTTCTTCTTGTAGCCGTTGCAGAGGGAAAAAGCAAGCGGGCCAGGTCGGGTAAACATTTTTCAGTTTTCTGTTTTGCATTACATTTGCAAACATCCCAATAGACCACACAGGTCACATGCCAACCAAGGGTCAGAAAGGTGGGGGGGGGGGCACGAAATCCGTTGGCTGGGTAAGGGCGCCGACAGAGGGAGGGTTGATGCATTCAGGCCCATAATACAAACAGTATCCCATTTTCTGAGTCACAAAACTGAGCCTGGGAGAAATAATCCTGGCAGTAATGAGGCTGGGCTTCAAACCCATGCATGTCTGGCCCCACAGCTGTGCTCCTGGCCACATTGCTCTGCAGTCTTAATTTTTAAAAGGAGCTTGTAAAAAGGATTCCCCATGTTAAGGAAGCATCTCCCAGGCCAAATGGAGTGTTGAGTAATTGCCTGCTGAATATGGTTGATAGAGAACACAAACTTCAAGCCAAAACACTTTAATTTCCCCTAAACATATGTAATCATCTTAATTTCCTTTTTGCCTCTGTCGACAGAGCTTAGGGGAGACAACTCCTTTTTAGCATCAGCCAGTGTCTCCCTGGGAAGCAGCATGCAAGAAATGGGGTTGGCATTCTTTCCTTCGAGAAAACAAAAATGCATTTTATGTACTTTTACTGTCTTCCCTGGGCTGGCCAGGGACGTCTTTTGCTTGACGTTGTGCTTTGCCCCGTGGCTTTGAACCCTCGCGCTCATTTACCATCAGGCTCCCACGTCTTGGGTGATTTGTGACCCTGGTCTAGTTCCCATCACTTGAGTCCATTTGGGGGCTGGATTTCATACATAATGAAAGATCTGGTTGAGCAGCGCTGATGTCTCTGGAAGGACCGGCTCATTGATCAGTAACTGGTTTGCTTCAGAGGACAGAGTTGTCCTAATCTGAGAGGCAGATTACATTTCAAACCCAGCAAATCCAGCTTCTTCCGTGGTTGACATGACCAGAAATTGCCAGCTGGACTTTATGGACTGTTAAGCTTTTTTAGAATATGACGTGAGGTCCTTTAACCGATTCAAGTGGAAGTAATAGTAATAATAACAGCAATGCAAATTTCCTGAACCTTTATCATATGCCAGGAGCCGTGCTCACCTCTTTGCATGCATTCCGTGTTCCCAACCCTCCTAAGTTATTGATAGCACTATGCACCCATCTTGCAGCTTAAGATACTTGGGTTTAGGTGACTTTCTTTCCCAGGGCCACGTTGCCCGCCAGTAAGTGACAGGCAGAGACAGGAGGTGGCCTAGCAGATGACGGTTAAGAGCGGGATCAGTAAACTTTGCCTGTAAAGAGCCAGATAGCACATATTTTAGACATTTGCAGGCTATTTGGCCTCTGCAGCAACTACCGAGCCCTGTTGTCGTAACACAAAAGCGGCCACGGCCACTGCGTTTCTAGGTGGGTGTGGCCGTGTGCCAATAAAACTTTATTTACTGGCATCACTTCCAAGCTGTATTTTTTTTGAGGGGGGGGCGGTGGCTAACTCAACTTCTCTCAGTTTTTTTCATCTAAAAAAATAAGAAAAATAAATAAGATAAAACAAAAATTGAGGATGATGATGCTCATGATACCTAGTTTGTAGGGTTATTTTCAGGAGTAACTGGCTGTTGCCTACAAAACACTTATTTCTGTTATTGCTGATGTGGGAGACGGGGGAGGGGGAGGAGAGGAGCCCTCCTGGGCTTAAGGCCCCGCTTCCCAACTTAACCGCCAGCTGAGTGATCTTGGGAGTGTTACTTAACACCTCTGAGTCTCAGACTCTTTTCTCATTAGGTGAAGGATACTTGAGATATCCTTCAAGTCACAGGATAGTTGGGTTAAATGTCACAGGATAGTTGTCACAGGATAAATGTCACAGGATAGTTGGATTAAATGAATTGAATGCGTGCAAAGGCCTTGCACGTGGCAAGCACTTTAGAGGGGCTTTATTATTATTATTATTATTATTACTGAAAACTCAAGGTTTGAGCCCAAGTACTCTTGGCTTCCAACCGCGGGTTCTTTGCCGCCAAATGCTCCTGAAGGGCCTGCTCACTGTTTTACACTATCGATGACCCCCTTGGTGACCTGCTGAAGTCTATGG